TCAGCAACGGGTGTGGCTGAAATAGCCACATTTTTAAGGGCTGTCCACATACTTTTGGTGATGTAGTGTATTTTTGAACTGGGCAGTAATGTCAGCTTTGTATGAACTGAAGTCCTTCACAAACACTGACCCTGAATTCCAAATCGACCCGCTAGCCCTTCCCCCTAGATACCCCTGTAGATCTGGCTAGGGACAAACACTTACTTTCTACCTCACCCTCTCATTATTGGCCGTGCAGTTCTTGGAGGAGGAAGTGGGAGGTGGCAGGCCAGCGTTTGTGGGCCGGAGGTACGTTCTACAAGCTGGAGAGCATCGCCCACAGACCAGCCGGCCACCCTCCGTCCCAGGCTGCAGGATCAGCAGAGCAGTGGAGCCTCAGACCATCAAGGATGAGGTCCGGAGAACTCACGCACACACAATCATAAAAACACATACACAATTATAACACACACACATAACACACTCACTCATAAGAACAGACTGTCTCACACTCAAACACAGATAAAGATAAAGAGATTAACGTGTGTGTGTGTGAGTGTGTGTGTGTCAGTTCATCACCAGCAGGGTGAACTGGGTGGTGCAGAGCTCGGCAGTGGACTATCTCCATCTGATGCTGGTGGCCATGCGCTGGCTGATGGAGGAGCATGACATCGACGGACGCTTCTGTATTAGTATCAACGACGATGTGCGCTACTGGTCTGCAGTGAAGACCGCTACTGGGCAGCACTGGCTCTGCAGATCACCAACCTGCTCACACAGTCAGTAGTACTGCCCTGGCTCATTCACTGTCTCCTGCTGACCTCTGGCCAGGTCACCCTAGCAAAAGATCTAACCTCAATGGTCTTTTCAGGCTAAATAATACATAAATGACCACGTGGTCATTTAAACGGTTGGGATGCAGCTAATTGTAAGTTAAAATTGAAAGTATTGTCATTGTCATTCATAGCCCGTGAATTACACTCGTTTTACATAATGTTTCAAACGTCTGTTCAATAAGTAGCTTACAGTGAGGGAAAAAAGTATTTGATCCCCTGCTGATTTTGTACGTTTGCCCACTGACAAAGAAATTATCAGTCTATAATTTTAATGGTAGGTTTATTTGAACAGTGAGAGACAGAATAACAACAACAAAATCCAGAAAAACGCATGTAAAAAATGTTATAAATTGATTTGCATTTTAATGAGGGAAATGAGTATTTGACCCCTCTGCAAAACATGACTTAGTACTTGGTGGCAAAACCCTTGTTGGCAATCACAGAGGTCAGACGTTTCTTGTAGTTGGCCACCAGGTTTGCACACATCTCAGGAGGGATTTTGTCCCACTCCTCTTTGCAGATCTTCTCCAAGTCATTAAGGTTTCGAGGCTGACGTTTGGCAACTCGAACCTTCAGCTCCCTCCACAGATTTTCTATGGGATTAAGGTCTGGAGACGGGCTTGGCCACTCCAGGACCTTAATGTGCTTCTTCTTGAGCCACTCCTTTGTTGCCTTGGCCGTGTGTTTTGGGTCATTGTCATCCTGGAATACCTATCCACGACCCATTTTCAATGCCCTGGCTGAGGGAAGGAGGTTCTCACCCAAGATTTGACAGTACATGGCCCTGTCCATCGTCCCTTTGATGCGGTGAAGTTGTCCTGTCCCCTTAGCAGAAAAACACCCCCAAAGCATAATGTTTCCACCTCCATGTTTGACGGTGGGGATGGTGTTCTTGGGCTCATAGGCAGTCATAGGCCCAGTTCTCCTCTGAATCATTCAGATGTTCATTGGCAAACTTCAGATGGGCATGTATATGTGCTTTCTTGAGCAGGGGGACCTTGCGGGCGCTGCAGGATTTCAGTCCTTCACGGCGTAGTGTGTTACCAATTGTTTTCTTGGTGACTATGGTCCCAGCTGCCTTGAGATCATTGACAAGATCCTCCCGTGTAGTTCTGGGCTGATTCCTCACCGTTCTCATGATCATTGCAACTCCACGAGGTGAGATCTTGCATGGAGCCCCAGGCCGAGGGAGATTGACAGTTCTTTTGTGTTTCTTCCATTTGAGAATTTCTCACCAACTGTTGTCACCTTCTCACCAAGCTGCTTGGCGATGGTCTTGTAGCCCATTCCAGCCTTGTGTAGGTCTACAATCTTGTCCTTGACATCCTTGGAGAGCTCTTTGGTCTTGGCCATGGTGGAGAGTTTGGAATCTGATTGATTGATTGCTTCTGTGGACAGGTGTCTTTTATACAGGTAACAAGCTGAGATTAGGAGCACTCCCTTTAAGAGTGTGCTCCTAATCTCAGCTCGTTTCCTGTATAAGACACCTGGGAGCCAGAAATCTTTCTGATTGAGAGGGGGTCAAATACTTATTTCCCTCATTAAACTGCAAATCAATTTATAACATTTTTGAGATAATTTTTTGTTGTTGTTATTCTGTCTCTCACTGTTCAAATAAACCTACTATAAAAATTATAGACTGATCATTTCTTTGTCAGTGGGCAAACATACAAAATCAGCAGGGGATCAAATACTTTTTTCCCTCACTGTATGTGTTCCTCCATCTTTTACCATTGTGCTTTAAAGGTGTATGTTTGCCCATGCGCTGGGCATGCAGGACCTGCCCCAGTCAGTAGCTTTCTTCAGTGCTGTGGACATTGACCAGTGTCTGAGGAAGGAGGTGACCATGGACTGTGTGACTCCCTCCAACCCCACAGGGCTGGAGCGCAGATATGGCCTGCCACAGGGTGAGTCCTGTATATCATCATTGTACTTAATTCTTTAAACTCTTCGCATTGCAATTTTGTAGTGTGCATGTGATGGCAATCAGATCTATACTTAACAAAAATATAAATACAACATGCAACAATTTCAACGATTTTACTGAGTTACAGTTCAAATAAGGATATCAGTCAATTTAAATAAATTAATTAGGCCCTAATCTATGGATTTCACATGACTGGGCAGGGGCACAGCCATGGGTGGGCATAGGCCCACCCACTGGGGAGCCAGGCCCAGCCAATCAGAATGAGTTTTCCCTCACAAAAGGGCTTCATTAGACAGAATTACTCCTCAATTTCATCAGCCTGCCCGGGTGGATGGTCTCAGACGATCCCACAGGTGAAGTAGCCGGATGTTGAGGTCCTCGATTGGCGTGGTTACACGTGATCAGCTGTTCTGTGAAGGGAGTAGTACACAGTGTTGTACGAGATCTTCAGTTTCTTGGCAATTTCTCGCATGGAATAGCCTTCATTTCTCAGAACAAGAAAAGACTGACGAGTTTCAGAAGAAAGTTCTTTGTTTCTGGCCATTTTGAGCCTGTAATCGAACCCACAATTGCTGATGCTCCAGATACTCAACTAGTCTCAAGAAGGCCAGTTTTATTGCTTCTTTAATCAGCACAACAGTTTTCAGCTGTGCTAACATAATTGCAAAAGGGTTTTCTAATGATCAATTCACCTTTTAAAATGATAAACCTGGATTAGCAAACACAACGTGCCATTGGAACACAGGACTGATGGTTGCTGATAATGAGCCTCTGTACGCCCATGTAGATATTCCATTTAAAAAATCTGCCGTTTCCAGCTACAATAGCCATTTACAACATTAACAATGTCTACACTGTATTTCTGATCAATTTGATGTTATTTTAATGGACAAAAAAATTGCTTTTCTTTCGAAAACAAGGACATTTCTAAGTGACCCCAAACCTTTGAACGGTAGTGTATATATTCTTAAATTCCATTCCTTACTTAGATTTGTGTGTATTGGGTATATGTAGTGAAATTGTTAGATATTACTGCACTGTCGGAGCTAGAAGCACAAGCATTTTGCTACACCCGCAATAACATCTGCAAAACACGTGTATGTGACAAATAAAATTTGATTTGAATTGCACGCTCCCTCAAAACTTGACATCTGTGGCATTGTGACAAAACTGCACATTTTAGAGTGGTCTTTTATTGTCCCCAGCACAAGGTGCACCTTTGTAATGATCATGCTGTTTAATAAGCTTCTTGATATGCCACACCTGTCATGTGGATGGATTATCTTGACAAAGGAGAAATGCTCACTAACAGGGATGTAAACAAATTTGTGCACAACAGTTTTGAGAAGTAAGCTTTTTGAGCGTATGGAACATTTCTGGGATCTTTTATTTCAGCTCATGAAACATGGGACCAACACTTTACATGTTGTGTTTATATTTTAGTTCAGTATATAAAGTAGTTTGTTGCTTTTACAAACCAGCAGCTTTGGCTGTTGAAAACACTAGAACAACTGACACCAGATGGAAGTAGTGTTGACTGGAAATGAACACACAAATGCGGAAAAAATATATAAAAGAAATTCACACAATTACAACATTTAAAATGTATAATTCTTAACATTGTAAAGTAACAAACATGTTTACATAGTGACATTTTTACTGTAAATTAATAAATACAGCAGAAATGCTCTTGCATGCTCTATCTGCTTAGTAAAAGCTTTAAACAAATAATCATAATGCAAAACATTGTTTATTATCTTTCTCTGTACAGTATGTACCTAGAATAACAACATGTTGACTGTCCACAGGTGAGGCCCTGGACATATACCAAACCATCGACATCACCAAAGGCTCTCTGGGAAAAGGGAAATAACAGGGTGAACCGACCAGTCCTCTATGATGTAGCTAGTGCAGCCAGAGGCTTCATGGGATACACAGGTCCTCCAGACTGCCCCAACCCAGGCACTGAGTCATCGAACCAATGACGTCAATAGGAACTACTAGTTCTATGCAGGTTCATGATAATAAGGCACAAAATAGAAGAAAACGGTCCGAAGCGGGGCTATCTGAACTTGTCCAATAAGAAATGCTCATTTCGTTTGTCTGTTGCAAAACATTTTGCTACGCCGTGGCCTAATGAGCACAACCCATCTCAGTGGATCATCAGAACGCATCCGGATGAATGTGGGCAACTCCAGACTGGTTAAGAGAGGAGTGTACTGAGAGGTTTAGAAGGGCCAGGGTATTATTGTTTTCCATTACTGCTTCTTCCTCTTCTTCTTGGGCTCCTGGCTCTGCTCTGGCTCCTGGGAGGCTGTGGTCTAAAGGGAGAGGAGAGACAAACCAGCACTTACACGTGTATCCTCCTCAAAACACACTTGGATATGTGGTGTCAGACACTGAAGAAATGAATGACTGCAGCTCAGACCATTGGGTCTGGGAAAGACACAAAAACGATCCATGGAGTTATAACTTATGAATGTGTGTTATTGACCTCAGAGTCAATGGAATGCGGGAGTATGGACAGGACTAATAAAGCATTAGTGAATTTGGTGTGATAGGTCATGATGGAGCTGAGTGAATAAGAGACGAAATCAAAGTTTTAGATCGCCGTCATCTGTACAATATGTGTCAGTGGTATGTTTGATGCTCACCTGCTGACTGTTGTCGTGCTCCTGCAGCGCTGCCTCCAGAGTGGCTGCGTTGATGCGGAAATCTCTGGACGTGCTCAGTTTCATGTACTGCATCAGGTTAACCTACACAACAATAACACCCAGACACCCGTTTATCTCATTGTAGTTACAATAATGCAGTGCCTTGGTTAGTTTTGGAGCTGGTCTGTTACTGAGAAGTGCCGATACAGCTCTATATCTGCTATTGTGTCTTCAATTCCAGATCTTGATTTGTCTGGTTACAAGTAGCTACACTCATCAATTCAATTTGAGACAATCTCCCATCCCAAAGCACTCCCATACATACCTTTGATTTCTTGGAGAGGGTGATTAGGTATTTCTCATACTGCTCTATACTGTAGATCAGGTTGGGAATGGCCTTGGTCTCACGTAGGAGTTTGGCCTTGAGAATGGGAGAGCAGTACACATGGTTTTAGTTAGACCAAGGCTCAAAAGTTCAGTTGAAGTGATTTCTTTGCAAGTGTAAATAAAAGGTGTGTAACAGAAACTCCTTACCGATGCTGTAGCAGTGGTCTCCCCCTCCTTTTTCTTCTTCTTCTTATCATCTGCACCTCCTCCACCGGCCAGCTCACCACTCTGTAGGAAAACACAAATGTCAAAGGTCACAACAACATGAAAGAGCCTCTAAGCTAGAGGACAGTGTCAACAAGAAAGGTTTTATTAGCATTTGCACCAGGTGAAAGTCTATCCCTTGCTGAAAAAACAGGTGCAGACACTTAGTAAATCTTGCCCATACTGTCAAATGTCGAGGGCATAGAAACAAACGATGCCACCTGCTGGCAGACAATGGCCAGTGGAGAGGCTAGATTTCGTCAACATGAGGCTATACCTGCACGTAGGTGATGAAGGAGTAGCACTGTGGAGTCAAGTGAGAGCCGGACAGCTTGACCTGGAAATACAGGGGTATTAGGGATTTTAGTGGAAGGGGGGGGTGCACACACCTGGGGCTCATAGGACAGGTAATCCAGTAGTGTACATTGAGAGCAATGCTGCAGACTCACCAGCTTCTCCAGGCGTGCTGGGAGCAGGCTCTGCTGGCCTGAGCACAGTTGGATATACTGCAAAGAATAAGTATTGGGTCATTCATTTTAGAGGGGATATAGTAGGTAGGTATAGTAAAGTCAGACTTACGTATTTGACCAGGGTGGTGAGGATGGTGTATGTGGGTATAGATAAGTCAGACTTACATATTTGACCAGGGTGGTGAGGATGGTGTATGTGGGTATAGATAAGTCAGACTTACATATTTGACCAGGGTGGTGAGGATGGTGTATGTGGGTATAGATAAGTCAGACTTACATATTTGACCAGGGTGGTGAGGATGGTGTATGTGGGTATAGATAAGTCAGACTTACATATTTGACCAGGGTGGTGAGGATGGTGTATGTGGGTATAGATAAGTCAGACTTACATATTTGACCAGGGTGGTGAGGATGGTGTATGTGGGTATAGATAAGTCAGACTTACATATTTGACCAGGGTGGTGAGGATGGTGTATGTGCGGCTCAGCTCTCCCAGCAGTGTGTTGGTGCAGACCCCAGAGGGCAGGGCAGTCTGGATCAGCTCGTTCAGGGCCGTCAGGAGGGTCCCCAGCTGCAGCGTCAGCGCCTTCTCCACTGGGTCCTGCTGACCCGCAGCCTGGGTGGCATCACCTGGACACACACGAAGATGAAGGACAAAGATGGTGCATGCGTGTGCGCACAGAGGACAGGGACGGACAGAAAGACAGACTGGGGCAATTAACACATTCACATACAGGTTACACATATAGAGATATCCTCTCCCCTGCAACTCATCCTTCCCAGTTGAGGACTAGTCATGCTGTGTGTGTACCATACCAGAGCTGAGCTTGTCAGGGACCAACTGGCCTTTCTTCTTGGTGATCAGCCAGTCCACCTCATCCAATACTTTCCCCACCTGAGACAGCACCAAGAGCTGAAATAAGAGAAATAGGACATTAAAAGGTTAAGTAAGTAAGAATTTTGTCCACAAATGTACCGAAATGTATACTATACAGTGCATTCGGAAAGTATTCAGACCCCTTCACTTTTTCCACGTTACAGCCTTATTCTAAAATGGCTAAAATAAAATGTTCTTCATCAATCTACAGACAATACCCCATAATGACAAAGCAAAAACAGGTTTACAGATATTTTAGCAAATGTATTAAAAATAAAAAACAGAAATACCTTATTTACATAAGTATTCAGACCCTTTGCGATGCTTGAGCTCAGGTGCATCCTGTTTCCATTGATCATCATTGAGATGTTTCCACAACTTGATTAGAGTCCACCTTTGGTAAATTCAATTGATTGGACATGATTTGGAAAAGCACACACCTGTCTATATAAGGTCCCACAGTTGACAGTGCATGTCAGAGCAAAAACCAAGCCATGAGGTCGAAGGAATTGTCCGTAGAACTCTGAGACAGGATTGTGTCGAGGCACAGATCTGGGGATGGGTACCAAAACATGTCTGCAGCATTGAAGGTCCCCAAGAACACAGTGGCCTCCATCATTCTTAAACGGAAGAAGTTTGGAACAACCGCCAGACAAATTAAGCAATATGGGGAGAAGGGTCTTGGTCAGGGAGGTGACCAAGAACCCAAAGGTGCTTCAACAAAGTACTGAGTAAAGGGTCTGAATACTTATGTAAATGTAATATTTCAGTTTTGAATTTTTAATAAATTTGCACACATTTCTAAAAACCTGTTTTTGCTTTGTCATTATGGGGTAGATTGATGAGGGGAAAAAACAATTGTATCAATTTTAGAATAAGGCTGTAATGTAACAAAATGTGGAAAAAGTCAAGGGGTCTGAATACTTTCTGAATGCACTGTATATAGTTTTGTGATTAGTGAATGCCATAATGTAGTTATTTTGTTAAATACTTCTCTCTATTAACTGAAATCTTGCTTTTTCAAATCCATTTTAGCTGTCGTGCTAGGTGATTGGTCCGAACAGATTCACAAATCATGGGAATTTGTCACGCAATGCAGACCCTCCGAGGGGCCTGCTCCCTCCGTGGCTAAAGCCAGTGTGAGAAACGTGCTAAGGTACGTCTTGTAGATCTTGAAGAATGGGATAGGTATAAAAACTGTGTCTAAAATCCTGCCTAGCATTCCAAAAGCTAAATGGACATAATACTGTAAAGTTAACACCAATAATTTAATTGTAGATCTACACGTGCCTAGGGGTAAGGAGCTGGGGGTCGTGCCTAGGGGTAAGGAGCTGGGGGTCGTGCCTAGGGGTAAGGAGCTGGGGGTCGTGCCTAGGGGTAAGGAGCTGGGGGTCGATTAGGTAGGAAGGGTGAGACACAATAACACTTTGCAGTTTAAAAGGCAGGTAGGTAAGCGCCACTCACTGTTGTCGGTGCAGCGGTCTTCATGTTGACGATGGAAAAGTGAGACTGCTTCTCCACTTCCACATCCTGTTATTGGATAATAAAACCACAACAGTACGGCTACAGTAAGGCAGGATTGTGGTCAATTCAGCAAGAAATTGAATTTCAGTTTACTTCCTGAATTAACGGAATTTAAATTGACCCAAACCCTGCAGTAAGGCTATAGTAGCTCACAAACAGTTAAAGTTAAAACAGCACTGACATTTTCTCTCTGATCATAATGAGCTATTGTTTTGGGTCAAATACTATGACCGTCTGAAGGCTGTTGTCAGTGAGATTGCCTGTAGCAGTCTGTAGCAGTCGGTACCTGGTCGATGTCTCCCAGCTGACTGTGTATGTCTTGACAAAGCTCCCACAGCAGACTGACAGGACTCTTGTAGAGCACGTGCAGACTGAAGAGCAGGGAGAGCAGGCCTTTACTGAATGTTACGTCCTCTGGAGGGAGGGAGGGAGGGAAGGAGAAAGGGAGGGAAGGAGGGAGGGAGGGAAGGAAAGAAAGAAAGCGGGAAGGAGGGAGGGAGGGGGGGAGCGAGCGAGCGAGCGAAAGATTGAGGGAGGGAGGAAGATAAATAAAGAGGGAGGGAGTGAGTGAGGAAAAGAAAGAGAGGGAGGAAAAATGAGACACATAACCACTTCCCTTTCTATTAAATAAAGAACTCTTAGCAGCATTAATGCCAAACTGATTCTTGGGAACAAAAGCTCAGGCGTATGTTGTGACAGAATTCAAATGGCTATATTGTGTCAGTTCAGTCCAAATCTGCAGGGTTTTAAAACCATTTTAATCGAAATTGCAATATTGACATGTGCAATATCCATATCGCTAGAGGCTGCGATTATTTTTTTTAACACCATGAGTGTAACATTCAAATTTAATAAGGGTCCCCTGAGAAACTCTGACCAACACTTTGTTTCCTACAACTTCTACTGTAACTGGCCTTTTCATTAGTTGTCATGCCAAACAACACCAACCATAGAATCGGAATACACATTTTATTTATATGGTTCCAACAGTTCACCAAAGGGTTTTGATCTAAATCGCAAGTAAAATCACACTAGTTGGTAAAAAAAACAACAACCGGCAATTAGATTCTTTGCCCTTATCACGCAGCCCTGGGCCTAGGGTCCAAAACTGCAACACTTTACCTTGACTGTTGCCATTTACTCACCAAAGCTGGTCTCCTTGCAGATTTTCACAGTCCAGGTGATCATTTGAACAAACTGGGAGAGAGCAAGAGAGAGAGCAAGAGAGAGAGAAAGTGAGCAAGAGGCCTAGCCCACTCATCAGTCCTCACTGGCTCTATGAAGTGCACTTGGGAGGGTGCCTACCTGCTGGGAGGAGGGTTCTAGCTGGCGTGAGAGCACACTCAGGATGTTGACCAGGAGTTGAGCCTCCTTGCTGTTGAAGTCCTCCTCCCCTCTACTCAGCTGGGTGAACAGTGCCCTCTGTGGATGGACAGGGGAACAGTGTTAATTTTGACACTCTTTTTTAGATTTAGTCTAGTCTTAATCATTTTACTAAAATATAATTAAGTTTTAGTCACATTTTTGTAAATGCCCTTTCATTTTAGTCACATCACATTTGTATTGCCTCATTAAAATCACTGACTTCCATGTGCACAAACATACCCTTGTCCTACCAGCATATTTTTATGCATTACATTCTATTCTCTTCCCAACAGCAGAAATATGACAACATATATAGGGATATATAATAATTATCTGGCCATGTAAATGACTAATTCAGCCTACATAGATATTGCACATTACATTCAAAACAAACACACACAAGCGCAGAGAGCGAGAAGCAAAATCACCACCAGATGGTGCCACAAAGTATTGGCAAAGTAGTATGGGTTGCACCTCCGTCAGTCGGTCGTGTCATTGCCATTGTTATCAATGTTCCACAGACGCTGCAGACACATTCATGTCCAGAAGTAGAACAGGAGCTAATGACTGTTTCGCCCAGTCATGCAGTCGAGTCACTAAACCTCGAGTTCGAAACGAGTCCCAAGTCCCCTGTGCTCGAGTCAGAGTCCAAGTCCGAGTCACGAGTCCCTATGGCTGAAGTCCGAGACCCAGTGCTCGGGTCCTAGTCCAAGTGCTCAAGTCTGAGTCACTGGGTCAGCATTAACTCAAAATAAAGTTATTTACCCGGTCAGATATAGTGTAGTGGCAAGATGAATTTAGTCAATAAAATGTTTGCTATCCCCTTTCCTTTTTTTCTGTGCCACGTTCTCGAACTTTGCAGACAGAAATTCCATGAATAGAGCCAACGTTATTCCTTTTTCAACATGTCAGAGGCATGTTTGCTAAACGCAGGATGCAATATAGCTAGCTAATGAAGTAACATGACTGAACAAGGTGTAGCCTAAACAAATGGTTAACGGTCCGGTCCGCAAATAGCATAGTTTTAGAATGGTCTGCGATATGCTTTATTAATATAAAATGCAGCTCACCAATGCACAATATAAATAAATAAATGTTGTGCCGGTATTATGGGTAATTTATTTTGAGCGGTAATGTCTCAAGACGTTTCCTGGGGAAAGAGGGAGACTTGGCTACAGAACCTGGCTATGAAATGCTGTGGGAAAAGTGGGAGGGTTGAGTGAGACTACAAATTCAAAGACCGCCTACTTTTCTAAACTCAAGGGAGAGAAAAACATAGCTAGACTGTTGTTTTACTATTTAACTCAATGCTGCTATTGTTTTTAATTTCGTAAAGCAGCTTGTGTTTCTTAACCAGGCAAAGGGTAGCTAACTAGAAGGCTGGTGGTGACTGGTTAGCTACCGGGAAGCAAGAGTCGCCTGCACGACGTGTATAATCAGAGCTGGAGCGGAGCCTGTTTGCCCACACTCATTGCTTGCTCCCTGCAGCTCACCAGCTGATGTAGGCTGTGTGTGCCGGGTGTGGCGCGTCCTTCCCACTGCTGAACAGAACTGCGCTGAGCATCTATGCTGCTAATATTAATTGTGCTCATCACTGAAAAGCTCCCAATCTATGCAAAAACTCTTGTCCAGTCCACTTAGTTGTCAGAATGTTGTCTGAAATAATTTAGTCTCGTCTTAGTAAACTGAAATGTTTTGTTATAGTTTTTTCTGTGTCTATTTAGTCATTTATAGTCTTGTCAATTGCCACTGAAAAATAGGTGTTTGACAAATACTTTTGTCACTGTTGTTGACAAAATTAACACTGCGGGGGAACAGTCTGGCTCTCAGGCTACGGCGATAGTATTCTGACTTCATTCCTAATTTATTAGAACAGAATAATCTAGAATCTACCCAAGGTCACATCCTGTATACTTTAACACTTCAGTCACACCTGGAACTGGCGAATGTAGAAAGCAGTCTTCTCTGTGACGTTGGCATTCCCTGGCCCGTGATCACTCCCTTCCTCCACAGAGACATCTGAAAGGAAAACCACCACATTGTATGCGTTTCCAAACTGTTACGGACAGGACATCTGTTACTCACGATGGCCTTTGGAGCCAAAATCATATCTACAGGAACCGACTTTGGCGAGGAAGCCATTCACAATAACTTATTTCATTCATACAACTGACGAGTATGAATGAACAGTTCTGTGTGGTAGTTCAAAGTGTGGCCTTGGCCCTTAAGGAAACTCCCTGTTGTGAATACATTGTGAATGAGAGCTGTTTGGGGATTTTAGTTTTGTGGTCTCTAAGTTGTTTCATTGAACCTGTTCTGAATGTATGATCATGTGTTTTTAAACTGGAGCCATCTTCTTGGCCAGCTCTCCCTTATAAAATAGATTCTGTATCTCAAATGGGATATCCACTGTGGTTTTGCATTGATATCACTTTAAAGTATCTAATTTCAGGATTTTAGCTTTACAGAAGACCTCTGGTGTGACGCATTGAGAATGAGAGCAGTGTGTGTGTGTGTTTGTCCCACCAACGGCAGAAAGGAGCTGGGCCACCCTGGCTGGGTAGCGCTGCAGCCCGGTGCTGAAGATCCTCAGCAGGCCCTCCAGACACAGCAGGGACACACTGCAACGCTTCTCCTTCTTCCCAGCATCCTCCACTGCACACGGGATGTTGGTGTACCGCCACATCAAGACACTGGGGGGCGGGGGGATAAACCAGTTGAGGTCACAGAGAATCTGACCAGGTGATGCAAGAGATATTCTGACCAGGTGATGTCATAGAGAATCTAACCAGGTGATGTCATAGAGAATCTAACCAAGCGATGACATAGAGAATCTTACTAGGTGGTGTCACAGAGAATATGACCTGCTGATCTCTCAAATAGAATCTGACCTGGTGATGTCACAGAGAGAATCTGACCAGGTGATGCAAGAGATATTCTGACCAGGTGATATCATAGAGAATCTAACCAGGTGATGTCATAGAGCATCTAACTAAGCGATGACATAGATAATCTTACTAGGTGGTGTCACAGAGAATATAACCTGCTGATCTCTCAAATAGAATCTGACCTGGTGATGTCACAGAGAGAATCTAACCTGGTGATGTCACAGAGAATCTAACCAGGTGATGTCATAGAGAATCTTACTAGGTGGTATCACAGAGAATATGACCTGCTGATCTCTCAAATAGAATCTGACCTGGTGATGTCACAGAGAGAATCTAACCTGGTGATGTCACAGAGAATCTAACTAGGTGATGTCATAGAGAATCTAACCAAGCAATGTCATAGAGAATCTAACCAAGCAATGACATAGAGAATCTTACTAGGTGGTGTAACAGAGAATATAACCTGCTGATCTCTCAGATAGAATCTGACCTGGTGATGTCACAGAGAGAATCTAACCTGGTGATGTCACAGAGAATCTAACCTGGTGATGTCACAGAGGTGATGGAAGGTCTTGTCTGTGTTTTGTCCGTCGGGGCCGTCCGTGTGTCCAGTTTCCTCCAACTGTGTGATCTTTTGCAGAGCCACGCTCACAGTGTAACGCAGGAAGTCCCCACTGGAGCGCAGCACCGACAGAGCCTCCTCTCTGCTCTGAGCGCTGTCTCTGGAAGAACACACACATGCTTTCAGGTGCAAGACAGGCCACAAAACACACAGGTACTGTATGACTTTGAACTAAAATGTGGCACTTGTGTATGCAGCCTTGACAGGAAATACATTCCCCCATACACACACCTGAAGAGTGCAGTGAGCAGTGTGGACACAAAGCCCATAGACAGCAGGCTGCGAGGGCTCTTGCTGCTCTTGCCCTTTCCAGACTTCTCCTTCAGGATCTCAGACAGCTTGTTGTAGCGACTAAACAGCTCCAGGAGCTCCTCGAAAATACTCTTACTGCAACACACACAGTGTCATATTAAGGACAAATTCACTCACTGTCTCACAATGTAGCATATTATCCATCCCAGTTCTACACATCCTCTTGGTAAAACATAAGTTTAGTCAAGAGTTGAGAGCTTTGTCGCTTGACACATTGAAATAAAATAAAAATCATATTCAGCATGTTTCCCACTCCTTTACTTCACGCAGTACCAGGGACAGAGCATCCTGAAAATACTTTCCTAATATCTAAACATTGATTTAAGCATTTGAACACACAAGTTAATTATTAAAAACACTAATACAGTAGCTTCTCCCACAGATCCAGTGAGCCAGTCTTCTTCAGGTTACCTGTAGTTGGCCTTGGTGAAGTTGTATTCGATGAGCACCTCGTACACTCCCATCACCAGCACGGCGTAGATGCTGTTCTTCACCCCCACACTGGACGCCAGGGAGAACTCAGCTGACTTATCCTGGCGGGGGGGGGGGTCGCACAGAGATGACATCAATTCAGTCACTGAAAAGGCCGTCATTGTAAATGCTATTTTTTTCTTAACTGACTTACCTGTATGGATAAAGGTTAAATAACAATACAAATAAATAGAGCTGCAAGCAGCAATGAAAGGGGTGCTGTCTTATGAGCAGGCTGAAAGGAACCATTATACATCATCCCTCGTGTATATGTACAATTCAAGTTTCAAGTTGATAGAGCGAAAAGAAGTTAAGTTATTAGGGTTTAATTGAGGACACCATTTTGTTTTTTACAAAGATGCAATTTTCTCTCATATTTTGACGAATTGCTTAGCTTTTCTCGAACGTACTAGATAAAGACAATTAACAGTCCATTGGATGTACGTTTCATAAGACTTTTAACGATTTGATGAAAAATCCAATATGGCGAAAAATCTAAAATGGCGGACCTTACGGGTCCTTGAGGAAAATGTGTTCCTTATGATAAGAAAATGATATACCAAGTTTCATGGTTGTACGTCAAATGGGGCCAAGGGGCTGAGCCTTCCACTTTGAATGCTTATTACAGCGCCACCTATGGGCCAATTGGTGCCGTTTTTGGTGTCTGAGAGTAGTGGTGCTGATATACTTCTGATATTGCCAAAGTATACTTTTTTTTAACCAATCGGGCATTGAGACAAGTGCGAAAGTGCGAGAGAAAGAATTCCATCAGAAATAATAGGTTTGCTTGCTTGCAGCGTCGCTGTCAGCACCCCTAATAAAATACTCTACTGCTGTTCATCCTACCACTCAAAGTAGAAGCATTCCCCTCCTCTCCCCTTGTAAGATTTTCTTAGAGTTGACCTTTTCTACAGATTACACTACCACTAACCCCAACCTTAAATATGACTACAGTACTCCTTATGATAAATGAACCATAACTACATATGATAAATGTTTATTTGAGAGAGAAGGTTGAAAAAAGGCCCCTGAATGGCAGGTAGACTCCCAAAAAAGACAAAATGGCTTGTATGATACAGATTACATACTGCGACACATGTGGACCAAACAGGACTTGCTGCCTGAGGAAGACCTGTTTGCTGAAAATGCATTTCTGTATGCGACCTGCTGTAATATAATATGCGGATCTCAGGGCTCTACAGGGCTCTACTAGCATATGCGCCTAAATATTTTGCTGTGTGACCTGGAATTTAAATGTAGGAGCCAAGACAAATGCAGAATTTTAGCTGTTTTTCATTGTGCTCCTAAAGTTCTTTGTGTGCGTCTACATTTTTCAACTTAGGCGCACACATGCTCCTTGTAAAATAGGTCAGTGTAGATCCCTGGCGGCTCGTGGTGCCCCAACGCCCTATTAACACTCATGTTGGTGTTTCCTTTATTTTGTCAGTAACTGTATTTTTCTCAATATTTTTGTGAATAGTTTCTCTGCAAATGTATATTTGCACCGCTCCTAGTGCAATTATGAAGGCCGTCTGATACCTTTTATGTGTGAAAGTAAAGAGGTAGACGTGGTGTTACCGTAAATGATAGTCACAAGTTGACCAGTTGGAACACAAGTTGACCAATCATCAGATTGCATGCAGTTTATAACTATACAGTGCATTCGGAAAGTATTCAGACCCCTTTACTTTTTCCACATTTTTGTTACGTTACAGCCTTATTCTAAAATTGATTAAATTATTTTTTCCCCCTCAATCTACAAAGAATACCACATAATGACAAAGCAAAAACAGGTTTAGACATTTTTGCAAATGTATTACAAATAAAAAACAGAAATACCTTATTTACGTAAGTATTCAGACCCTTTGCTATGAGACTCGAAATTGAGCTCAGGTGCATCCTGTTTCCATTGATCATCCTTGAGATGTTTCCACAACTTGATTGGTGTCCACCTGTGGTAAATTCAATTGGAGATGATTTGGAAAGGCACATACCTGTCTATAGAAGGTCCCACAGTTGACAGTGCAAAAGCCATGAGGTCGAAGGAACTGTCCGTAGAGCTCAGAGACAGGATTGTGTCGAGGCACAGATCTGGGGAAGGGTACCAAAACATTTCTGCAGCATTGAAGGTCCCCAAGAACACGGTGGCCTCCATCACTCTTAAATGGATGAAGTTTGGAACCACCAAGACTCTTCCTAGAGCTGGCCGCCCAGCCAAACTGAACAATCGGGGGAGAAGGGCCTTGGTCAGAGAGATGACCAAGAACCCAATGGTCACTCTGACAGAGCTTCAGAGTTCCTCTGTGGAGATGGGAGAACCTTCCAGAAGGACAACCATCTCTGCAGCACTCCACCAATCAGGCCTTTATGGTAGAGTGGCCAGACGGAAGCCACTCCTCAGTAAAAGGCACATGACAGCCCGCTTGGAGTTTGCCAAAAGGCACCTAAAGGACTCTCAGACCATGAGAAACACGTTTCTCTGGTCTGATGAAACCAAGATTGAACTCTTTGGCCTGAATGCCAAGCATCACGTCTGGAAGAAACCTGGCACCATCCCTACTGTCAAGCATGGTGGTGGCAGCATCATGCTGTGGGGATGTTTTTCAGCGGCAGGGACTGGGAGACTAGTCAGGATCGAGGGAAAGATGAACAGAGCAAAGTACAGAGAGTTCCTTGATGAAAACCTGCTCCAGAGCGCTCAGGACCTCAGACTGGGGCGAAGGTTCACCTTCCAACAGGACAACGACCCTAAGCACACATCCAAGACAATGCAGGAGTGGCTTCGGGACAAGTCTCTGAATGTCCTTGAGTGGCCCAGCCAGAGCCTGGACTTGAACCCGATCTAACATCTCTGGAGAGACCTGAAAATCGCTGTGCAGCGACGCACCCCATCCAACCTGACAGAGCTTGAGAGGATCTGCAGAGAAGAATTGGAGAAACTCCCCAAATACAGGTGTGCCAAGCTTGTAGCGCAGGGTTCTTCAATTCCAGTCCTGGAGGGCCGAAACACTCACCTGGTGTCCCAGGTCTGAATTAGCCCCTGATTAGAAGGAGAGGATGAAAAACAGAGGTGTTTCGGCCCTCCAGGACCGGAATTGAAGAACCCTGTTGTAGCGTCATACCCAAGAAGACTCTAGGCTGTAATCTCTGCCAAAGGTGCTTCAACAAAGTACTGAGTAAAGGGTCTGAATAATTATGTAAATGTGATATTTCAGTTTATGTTTAATACATTTGCTAAAATGTCTAAACCTGTTTTTGCTTTGTCATTATGGGATAGTGTGTGTAGATTGATGAGGGGGAAAAAACAATTTAATCAATTTTAGAATAAGGCTGTAACGTAACAAAATGTGGAAAAAGTCAAGGGGTCTGAATACTTTCCAAATGCACTGTATATAAGATAATTTATTAGATAATATTTAAAGATCATCTCCTCCATCTACGGGACAAGGCCCTTACAGTGACATCTCCCAACAGTAACTATTTGTTGTTGTTTTTTACCTTGTATCAAACCTTGTATCAATATGACCCTATTGTACCCTACAGATCCGTCCACGTAATCTGTTAGTCCAAAGGTTTGTTCCAGCCACGTGTAATTGATAAATGACCTAATCAATTTATGATATCAATCCGCTGGCAGCTGGCTAGTGATTTAATTTATTGTGTTGCCTAGCAATGATTACTGCATCAAGAATTAGCTTTCCTGGTGGAAGGGGTGAAACTACACGTTCTGGTATGAAAAGGGCTTAAAAATAATAATAATTGGGGTCATAATTCTTGCTTTCAATTTAAACCCTTTTATAAACGCAATAATACATTTGAGGTTCTGCGGCTTTGTCTCGTACCTAGGGACTGCATCAAGTTATGCCAATAATTGCAACAACGCACACCACTCTGTTGTGATCTTCACAAAGTTCAAACAAGTTCAGATCACCGCGTGCATCGATGAGGCAAAAGGCCTTGTGGTGTTATGATTCTGAACGGTCAGATAGCTAGCAACAATGACAAGAAGCTACCATGGGAAATCGTAGGTGGCTCGTTTCAGCTCGTTGTATCTTGTTACTGATTCCATGTCTTGTTTTGAGGTGTTTGACTCATGTCATTTTTAATGCTAATATGGCAAAATTCGCTAGCTAGTTAACCAACATCTGTAATGATGTATTTGAGACAACAAGTACTCATCGTGCAAATGTATGTTTTCAATAAACATTTGGAGACAAAATATAGTTTACATGTTGTCAACATGTTGCCCACGCATCGGTTTTGTTGCAACCAACCAGTCTATATGACCCCTGTAATGTGTTCCTGGAATAATACTACACACACTGTTCTATGAAAGTCACTACTCTGATACGCACCAGCTCAAAGTCCTCCAATTCACACTTGATCATCCGGCATGTGATGCTCTCCAGGATGCTCTGCAGCTCGGCCTGAAATCCAACCTCCTCTTCATCATCATCATCATCTTCGCTCCCGCCTGCGTTGGGCCGGGCTGACTGGCGCATGTCCTGGTACCAGAGCAGGCAGTGGACTGTGCAACTCAACAGGTGGGCCTGAGAGGAATAGGAAGCATCCATGTCTTGATGTTCTTGTGGACGTACACCACACACAAGCATGCCAGACAAGGGAGAGAGTAGCAGTATGCAGTAGAGTGGACTGTGCAGCCCACTAGTTGGGCCACTTCTGCACGCACGCACACACACGTGACATAATAAGTAAAAGTGAATACCAGAGGCTCCTGGAGGAAGACTTGGTCTCCTTGAGCACCAATGCATAACTCCAGCTTCACTGGGGGCAGAAGGTCCTGCTCTGGCTCATAGTACCGCCTCAGCTAGACAGAACACACATGTCAAATCACAATGCAATACACAGCATGTAATTACACCAGAAGAGCTCGCTCGCTCACACACACACACACCTGTGAGTGCAAGGTCTGCATGATGGAGCTTGCTAGTTGAGAGTTGCGGCGGAGGACATCATGGAAACCCTACAAATAAGGCACACATGACAACCTTGTGTTAGAAGATATACTGGAAACTTTCAAATGCAACAACTTCAAAGATTTTACTGAGTTACAGTTCAAAGAAGGAAATCAGTCAATTTAAATAAATAAATTAGGACCTAATCTATAGATTTGACATGAATGGGCAGGGGTGCAGCCATGGGTGGGCCTGGGAGGGCATAGGCCCACCCACTTGGGAGCCAGATCCACCCACTGGGGAGCCAGGCCCAGCCAATCAGAATGTTTTTTCCCACAAAAGTGCTTTATTACAGACAGAAATACTCATCAGCACCCTCCCCCTCCCCCTGCTCAGATGATCCCACAAGTGAAAAAGACAGATGTGGAGGCCCTGGGATGGCTTAGTTACACATGGTCTGCAGTTGTGAGGCTGGTTGGATGTACTGCCAAATTCTCTAAAATGACATTCGGGCAGGTAGCGTTCTCCTGGCATCCGCCAAATCCATATTCGTCTGTTAGACTGTCAGATGGTGAAGCGTGATTCATCAAATCAAATGTTATTTATTTGTCACATAGACGTGTTTAGCAGATGTTATTGCGGGTGTAGCGAAATGCTTGTGCTTCTAGCTCCGACAGTGCAGTAATATCTAACAAGTAATATCTAACAATTTCACAACATATACCCAATACTCACAAATCTAAGTAAGGAATGGAATTTAAGAATATATACATATATGGACAAGCAATGACAGAGCGGCATGGACTAAGATACAGTAGAATATTATAGAATACAGTATATACATATGAGATGAGTAATGCAAGATATGTAAACATTATTAAAGTCACTAGTGTTCCATTTCTTAAAGTGGCCAGTGATTTCAATAGGCAGCAGCAGCCTCTAGTGTGCTAGTGATGGCAATTTAAAAGCCTGATGGCCTTGAGATAGAAGCTGTTTTTCATTCTCTCGGTCCCAGCTTTGATACACCTGTACTGACCTCGCCTTCATGATGATAGCGGGGTGAACAGGCAGTGGCTCAGGTGGTTGATGTCCTTGATGATCTTTTTGGCCTTCCTGTGACGGGTGCTGTAGGTGTCCTGGGGGGCGGGTAGTTTGCCCCTGGTAATGCGTTCGGCAGACCGCACCACCCTCTGGAGAGCCCTGCGGTTGCGGGCGGTGCAGTTGTCGTACCAGGCGGTGATACAGCTCGACAGGATGCTCTCAATTGCTTGGCCACGCAGTCATGGGTGAACAGGGAGTACAGGAGGGGGCTGAGCACGCACCCTTGTGGGGCCCCAGTGTTGAGGATCAGTGAAGTGGAGATGTTGTTTCCTACCTTCACCACCTGGGGGCGGCCCATCAGGAAGTCCAGGACCCAGTTGCACAGGGCAGGGTTCAGACCCAGAGAACGCATTTCCACTGCTCCAGAGTCCAATGGCGGCGAGCTTTACACCACTCCAGCCGATGCTTGGCATTGCGCATGGTGATCTTAGGCTTGTGCGCGGCTGCTCGGCCATGGAAACCCATTTCATGAAGCTCCCGACGAACAGTTGCTGAAGTTTCTTCCAGAGGTAGTTTGGAACTCGGTAGTGAATGTTGCAACCGAGGACAGACGATTTGACGAACTGACTAGTTGGAAAGGTGGCATCCTATGATGGTGCCACATTGAAAGTCACTGAGCTCTTCAGTAAGGCAATTCTACTACCAATGTTTGTCTATGGAGATTGCATGGCTGTCGATTTTATACACCTGTCAGCAACGGGTGCGGCTGAAATAGCCGAATCCACTAATTTGAAGGGGTGTCCACATACTTTGTATATATAGTGTATGTACTGTACATTCAGTCTTATAACACTTATCAGCCAAAGCTGACTTTGTGTAGCCTGGTCCCAAATCTTTTTGTGCCATTTTGTTAACACCTATGGTCACTGTCTTGTGATGGTCATTGGTACAAACAGATCTGGGACCAGGTTAGACATTGTGGTGTGGGGGTTCCGACCTCGTAGAGCATGAGTCGTACGTCGGCCTGCTGGCCCAGACATCGGCGCAGGCTGCTGAGGATCTCCAGGCAGAAGGCCTCGTTGGCAGCAGAGTTGTAGCGGGAGTGGACATCCACCTGGACCTGGGCACAGGACAGGACACGTCACAGATGAATGGACCCATAGAAATTCCCTCATAACGGCTTGAATACATAAATGAAAGTGCAGGGGTACACTCAGTGTGCACTCAGTCACTGTGAGTGGTGGTAGTGATATAAAGACACTGATATCAGACAGACCGAGACACACACACACACACACACACACACACACACACACACACACACACTCCACCTGGCTGGAGGAGATGGCCTGGCTGGCTTGGCTGGAGGCCATGCTACCCAGGACCCGGAAGTTCTTCAGCAGCAGCAGGAAGCCCGTCACCGCAGACTTCCTCCCATCCAACTGGCTGCAGGGGTCACATGGAAGGAAAGATTAATTGAATATGAGCCCAGGGGCCATATGAATCAAGTGTCTCAGAGTAGGATTGCTGATTTAGGATCAGTTTGTTTTTTTACATCACAATGAATAAGACAACATTGACAGGGGTGACCTGATCTTAGATTAGTACTCCTACTCTGAGACGCTTGATACATACGACCCCATCTCTGATCAGAGCTATGTCTGGTTAGGCCAGAGGGAGGGAGAACTTACCTGGAGAACATGGCCTTCCTCAGAACGAGAATCAGAGCATCCTTCATGGACATACTGACCTTCAGCAGGGGCTAGGGACACCACAGAGAGAGAGATCACACAAGCAGCCCCTACACTGGTGTGTGTGTGTGTGTGTGTGTGTGTGTGTGTTACCTGGACAGCCTTGAGTAGCCCCTGCACGGTGGCCAGTGGCAGGTAGGACAGGTGGTCAAACGTCTCTGTCACCTTGGACGATGATTCCAGGAGGATCATGGGAGCCGAGACCACAATGTCAGAGAGGAGATCTGATGATGTAGATGAGAGAGAGAAATCAGACAACATCCAGAAACAGTCCCTAGCCCCAACCGTCTGGACGCGTGGAAATCTGAGAGGATTGGACATGTGTATGCAAAATAGCAACAAAAGAAATACACCTAGCCCATCAGAGCGCAAGGAGAACAAGATAAGTATATTTACCTATGAAATGAGTGACAGGGGAGGCTGTTTTTGTGACCAATCGGTTCAGGACTTGCTCCAGAATCTCACCCCTGATTGGCTCATGCGTCTGTTCAAATAAACCAAAGAAAGTGGTTGAAATATCAGATGAACAGGAGATATCATTGCCTGTTACAGCACTGTAATATTATAGCCTGGTTAAACCAGACTGAATTCTGCGCTCACCATTGTTTCACTAAGCGTAATATTCAGTCTGGTTTAACCAGGTCAGTCATAATAAAATCAGCTCTTTGAAAGGCAACTGGGGATCAGAATCATCCAAAATCAGACATAGTGCTTCAACTGAGAACTAACAAATTGATCATAATCAGTATAATGACACTAGCATGTGGCTGTCACTTCAGATCCTGTACCTTATATAATCTATTCATTAATCATCATCAGTCTACATTAAATGATCCAGAGGATGAGGCCATAGCCACCGTACCTTGAAGCCCTCCAACAGGACCTGTCCCCCCAGCCGACAGGCCTGCTGTGTGGGGGTCTTGGCTGTGGCGTTGGCCCCCTCAGTTGTAGTCTTCCCGAACGGCCCCGCCTTGGGGCCAAAGGCGTCCATGAGGATGAAGCCCAGTTGGACCAGCCCCTGGGTCACATGGTCCCAGCCAAACACACTGCATGGGTCAGAGGTCGGAGATAGTGCCCTTAGTTACCACACTAGTATCTGAACGTGTCTGTAGACAAACACACGTAATCCCCCTGAGGTGATGCTGGAGTAAGAGTGCTGATCTAGTATCACTTTTCTCTTTTAAATCATAATGAATAAGATTATATAGACAGGGAGGACCTGACGCTAGATCAGCACTCCTACTCCAAACGGCTTTTTGAATATGAGTCCTGACCTGTTCTTGACAGTGTCGAGGATCATCTGAGCAAGGCTGCAGCGCTGAGGCAGCAGGTCCTGCAGGAACTTGGAGCCCTGCTGCAGCTGCTCATCCTTGAAGCACTTAGTGATCGCTCCCTTCAAGAAATCAAACAACTACACCACCAGGGAGGGAGGGGGAAGGGAGAGGGTAGGACAGGGAGGGTTTGGAGAGAAGGGAGGGTGAGAGAGGCTCTTTCCCTAATGGTTTTTCCATGATTCCTTGCGTACAGTCTCTTCATTGGAGAAGTAGTTCCAAGCTCCTTCCCCTCTAATCTTCTACTCCAATGCATTTTGAGAAGCAGGCAAAGAGAGGACGCGAGGAACATAGGAAAGACAAATTGAGAAAGATCATTTTCTTTATTTTTGTGATTGGAGGTTGTCTGGGTTCCTACCTGCTCCTCGTAGCGTTGGATCCTGGCCACCGAGAGCAGCAGAGCGATGCTGAACGGACAGAGCTCCCCCTGGGACCCCTGCAGAGGACAGAGACCAAACACACACACACACAGTCAATACTGTCTGAGCACCATACTGAACATTATTCATCATACATACAGGTGACTGAATGCTTGAATATCTGGATAATAACAATTTTCAATTTATACACAATTTAAAGCCTCACTCCAAAAGCAGTATGAACAGCACACCAATGATGCCATAGTTCAAAAACACCCCTTCTTTATCATTACTGTCATTCTATTTAAGGGGTGGGTGAGAGTGTATCTGGGACCTTAAGGCTTTTCAGGAACTCCCTCCCCAGTTCATGGTCGAGCCGCATGGCAAAAACGATGTGCAGGATGGCTGTGCCCTCCACATGCCTCAGCTGGTCCTGAGGAATGGACTGAACCTCCACGTCCATACTCCTGTGTGAGTGAGTAAGTGAGTGAGTGAGTGAGTGAGAGTGAGTGAGAGAGTGAGAGATCGTAGTCTTCTCATCAAGGCAGTTCACACATAGCTTGTCATTGAATTAGACATTGTGGTTTATTGGTGTGTCATAATGCTCACTCACTCTCCATCTTTCTGTTCCTCTTTCTGGCGAAGATCCTGCTCTTTAAAGTAGCTGATGATTCCTTCCAGGACCTGTTTCTTACAGCCCTGGTAGACAACATAAACACAAGAGGTTGTTAATTCAGCAAGCTATGTGGAAACATATAGGACATTGTACATATACATATTGTGCATACAAACAGACACACACACACCTTAGCAGCCAGCAGCAGGAGCTGGTAGACCAAAGGTGGGATCTCCTGCAGGTCTAGTTTGAGGAACATCCTCAGGACCTTCTCGACAAGGAACTGCAGCTCCTCTGGGGCCAAGGGCACATCCCTGGAGAGGATTGTTTAAGGCGGGGTGTAGATGCACTCATTAACTGTGTGCCAATGCACTCATCAACTAACAAACATTTTGAATTGAATATTGAAACCAAGTGAAGCTCAAGTCTTTCAGGTTTACCTGAACATAGTGGTCAAGTGGATCACACACTGTGGGTCCCATCTGTAAACACAGAACAAATACTTGTCTAGCATTGACCACAAGCTCTGTGTGCCATATCAGTGAGCAAACATGTCTCCCTGAAGTACATCCAACTGTTTACATCAAATATCCTTACATGAAATATATCCCTCTTAACAGTGCTCTGATATGAGACTATTATAACAGCACCTTAATCACAAGCCATTATAAGACTGGTGTCAGGATCTGAATTAACAGTGTGTATGATAACCCTTAGAAGAAGAGTGTCACTCAATCTCATGAGGGAGCTGACTAAATGTCATTTCCATTGTAACCCAGGACCTTACCTGCTAGTGACAGGAACATTGTTTTAAAAAAATCGAGGTACATATCGGGATATAATTTGACGATAAATCGCAATATTATTTTTGCGCTAGTCAGCTGTACCTGCATAGCTTGCTCTCCATCTTTTTAAATAGTGAGATAATTTGTTTCCAGCACTTATTTCAATGACTGATCAAAACTCGTGTTCTCAAAGCTCCCTCTTGTCCTTCTGCAGCAGACATATGGTGAGCAATATGTTTGGAACAATTAATCAAAATAAAATTGCAGTATTGAAACGCAATATTTATAGAATCGTGAGAATCTAAATACATAAAGCTTTGATCATTTGAACCAGCTGTGTAGTGTTAGGGCAAAAACCAAAATGTGTACCCCTTGGTGTCCCGAGGACAGAGTTTGGGATATACTGCACATACACATTTTTCAACCATTTTCCATCCTAGAAATTTGGAATAAGCAAAGGCTTTGATTTCTGCTCAAACAGATGGAAAATGGGTCTTAGAAAAACATCTACCAGAAAAAAATTAAGTCTTAACAAGTATTAAAAATACATCAAAACACAATAATGTTGAAGTAAAGACCACTGCCAACTAATATCAACACATATTTAACTTTGGATAAATGTTTCTGCCTTCTGTAAGTTTAAGAAACATTGCCTTGTGCCTTAATTCCGGTAACAAAAACCCACTTATCAAAGATATTTTCTAATTTCTCTTCCTCATGAGAGAAGGTAAACCTATCAATTAGTGTTTTTACTGATATCAATTTTGTTTATTAATTATTAAGTGATTAAAATGCGAAATTCCGTTACCAAATCGGTAATTTTTCTGCAATTGAATTGGCTACAATGGGAAATCATAGTAGCGACAAACCACAGTTGGGTTCACAAGTTTGAACAGCACAGTAGAGTACAGTAAAGAAAAGTAGACTATAGTTCAGTACAGTAGAGTTCAGTATAGTACACAGTAGAGCACACTATAGTTGAGTACACTATATATAATGTACTGTACTCAACTGAACTTTGATGTCCAAACTTGTGAAACATAGACATCTATGATTGGTTCAGATTTGGTCTGGACCAACCAAATTTCGTCTTGTTTGGGGGCAAAGCTCATTAAAATAATAGCCAGTGTGTATAATAATATCCAAATATGCAAAGGAGGATATTGCATATTTATACATTTCTGTACCTATTTAGGATACATCACCATGAAGAGAATGACATTCATATCCATAATTTTGCATTTCTGTGTAGTACAGATTAGGGACCCATGATGAAATTTCGTTACCGCAATTCCGTTACCAGGTGTAAATCCATTTCACTTACTGTAGTTCAATAACCAAAATAGATTTTTTCTAAGTCAATTGTGTCATGTCAAAGCTGACACCCCATTCGCTCTGCAGACATTGTTGAATCTTAATTCAGAGCAGATATTTAACTGTTTTTGGAAAATGTGGACACATAAAAAACAGAGTGAGATTTTACCGAAATTCTGATACCAAACTTGGCATCTGCACAGTTCTTCCAGTAAATGTGTTTTTGTAAACGTTTCTGTCAAATTGTTCAAAATAGTCCTTGTGCATAGAGTTGTATAGTTTGTTCAACTTTGAAATCAATGGTTTTTGTTTGGCACACATAGTAAGTGAAAAATCTGAGTCTCAGCGCAATTCCGTTACCGTGGAATTGCCCCCCTATTACCTGCTGGAGCAGAGGCTGTTGATGAGCTGCTTCTTGTACTCTTCACCACTGAGCTCACCTGTAGATATATCAGTGTAGAAAATAAAACAATTTATGGTATTGAAATTAGGGTACAGAAGACGATTTAGACAATTCTGTAGGGTCAGGTTTCTGCATTTGTGGTTTTGAGTTTGGTTTTGTACCTTTCCCATAGGACAGAGCCTCAGTGGCAGCCAGGGCCGTGAGGACTGTGGGGAAGAGTTCCAGGGATTTGCCACTGCCCATCTTGCCTGACTTAATGGCATCAACGAAGAGAGACGCCAGCTGTGCCAGGGAGGGGCCAGGCAGGTTGTGGGCCTAGGATGAGAACATACAGGGACAGCGTTATTGGAACAGATGAGTCTAATAATCAATATCAAACTACTTAAGTTTAAACATGAAAGAAATGGCAGAAACAACCAATCACCGGTTTGTGAATAAATACATCTGCATAGCCTAATTAATGGCCCGCGCAAAACAACCTTTGTAAGAAATATCACTGTACCTCTAGCATCAGCAGTCCAATGACGTCTGATGCCACTTCTGTTTGGAGATCTCCAGACTCACACAGTGGGATGCAGTGCTGGTACAGGAGCAGCCTGCGACTCGCACCCTCTGGGGAACTGGGCGGAGAGCCTGAGAGAACACACACACTTTGAGACACCATACTCCAACATTGCCGAGGCATCCAAAGGAAATAACATGGGACAATGACAACGGCATGGGTCATGGTGTCAAAATAGTTTTTTATATCACACATGGTTACCTTTGAATATGGATTTGACCATGGCTCCAATGTCCTTCCCCTTCAACGCACTGTTTGTGACCACGGTGGTCAGCTGGAGAGAAAACACCCCAGAAATTATTCAAGAGTGGGTTAACTAGTTTAGCCTGGTTGCCACTGTTTCTGCTCTCTTATGGAAACTTCTTATGGGATTGACATGGCATGACAATGACAGTTGGCAAGATGGCACAAACAGATCTGGGGACTAGGTGATATCTAGTTAGGTACAAAGTAGTAAAACAATGTCTAAATTAATACATTATTGAGATATAGTCAAATTAATAATGTGTATTACAAGATACATTATCATAATTATCATGATTATGAAATAGTGTGTTGTCGGGTGTTGGGAAGAATTGTGTTGACTGGTAACCTGGTCATCAGTCAGGGATGAGAGGTACTGCTGCAGCTCAGGGATGCTCTCTCCACCAGACAACGAAACTATCTTCTCCATCATGTCAGCTCTCATGTTGGACGTCTACAGGTCAAAGAAGACATACACTGCAAATCAAATCAGAAAGTGTATGACACAACGTTCAATAGGGTGTTAAATTATAACAATGTTGACTAAGCTAGCTAGGTACACCACTGCCACTTACTGCACTTCATAACAATCATTGGCATGAAGCTAACTAACGTTACCTCTTAGGGCGGCTAGCTAGCTATCGCGTCCAGTCGTGTGACAAAAGTTATTGAAAGAACTTTCAGATGAAACTACAATACAACCACTTTGGTCGAACATACCTTTGCGGGTCCTAATTGTATGATATCGAGTTAAACTTTTTTGGGACAAGTTCACCGTAGCTAGCAAGCCATCTGCTACTAACGTTTCGGAGTCACCAGCAAAATGAAATTCCCGGTTGTCACTAGCTAGCTACCACAGCCACAAAGTCAAAACTGGCTATATCATAAAAATGTATGAAAACAAAAATTGCCTTTTCGGTTTTAATTTAATGTTAGGCATAAGGTTATCAGTGTGGTTAGGGTTAAAGTTAGATTTTAAGAAGCTAGATTTTAAGAAGATCCTTTTTAGAAATAGGCGGGGTTTAACCATAATAATGACTTTGTGGCTGTGGTAACTAGTGACGACCGAAATTCCCGCCAGCAAACCTTTTCCTGTTGTCAATGTTTGCATGCCAGTGATTGGCTCTGTGTGTGTATGGAACGCCCACCATGTGCTGCCTACAAATGTCTATTTCTTTACAATATATTTTTTTTATGAAAACCAAACGATTTAGCTACTAGCTAACTAAACGAGCTAAATTTAGCAACCCGAATGTCCAACGATTAGCTAGCTATATTAACTATTGAAATATGCATATTCCCACGTTGTTTAGCAGGTGTTAGCTGGATAATTTATTTGACCGTGTCAAGGTAACGTTAACGTTAGCAGACGGACGAGATATGAAGAAATTCACTTAATCTGTGAAATGTCTTGCTTGCTAGCAGGTAAAATCAGTGCATTAGGCTACATCACGTTAGTACAGTTGGCTAACAATTTAGCTAGCTACAGTACTTAAAGTAACAGTAGCTAGCTGTGTGTTTTGACAGGTTGTCTAAATAGTTTGTCACCCCCTCCCCCTCCCTTATTTCAATAGCAGACATGGAATGGCCCATCTTCAAAATGTTGTCAGATGGGAGCCTTGTCCTGAAAGACATCAGCTTCTACCGATGCACCATTGAGAGCTTCCTGTCTGGCTGCATCACCGCCTGTAAAGGCAGCTGCACTGTCCCCCGGAAGATCACCAAGGACTTCAGCCACGGCCTGTTTTACATTTTAGTCATTTGTCTACGCTCTTATCCAGAGCGACTTACAGTTAGTGAGTGCATATGTTCTTTTTTTTTTCTTTTTTCATACTGTCCCCCGTGGGAATCGAACCCACAACCCTGGCGTTGCAAGCGCCATGCTGTACCAACTGATATACTGTCTCTCCGCTTCAGTCTGGCAGACTGTAACGGAGCATCCACCACCAGGCCATGAGACGGTTGAAAAGCCTAGCTGTCCACCTGCAGAACCCGCTGTTCACCTGCACCTTAAGAGACTATTTCCACTGACTCTCTGTAACAGTATTGCTTCAATCCCTGTACTTGCCCCAACCTGGGCTTTAGTCAGGGACCCTCTGAACACATCGACAACTTGTCACCCACAAAGCATCGTTACTTATCGCTCCACAAAAGCTGCGGCCCTTGCACACGCGTACGTACGGTCACTCACTCCCATAATTGCTGCTATAATTTTGTACTATTTATTTGTACTGCTCAATTTATCTACTTGTTGACATAGCACATTTCATAGTACATATCGTTAGTGCTAGTTTTACTCCTACTCTTAAACCTTTTAATATTTGTTTACCACTTGCCTTGTTGTGTGTCTGTTGTTACTTCTATTGTTGATATTTAGATATTTCACTGTTGAGAGGTAGCCCAATAATGGACTAAGGGAGCCTAATGTTACTCCTTAGTCCAAGGACCTTAAATGTTATTTTTAAAGTGTATAATTGGCTCTGGCAGCCAAAACGTGGATTGATTCCCAATTCCGGTACGGTTCTAGGAACATAAATCCCTCTACTTTCATATCACATCAAAATAATTTCAAATGCTAAATACACACTTACTGTACACAGTTGCAGCTAACCGTATTTTTTAGTGACAACATGTTTGTGGCGTCCGTCTTCCGTTCACACACAGGTGTTAGGAGACGCAGATAGCTTTTTAGCACAGGTAGTCGACAGTCTTCCGTCTGTTTTCTGTAATGAAGCGCAGTAACATGGAGATATGGCTGTGTGGTAACACTAACCCTATAAAGGTGAGTATAATTTTAACCTTTTGTTTTTTGAAAATTATTTATCGCTGATATGAAAGATAAGGTCCTTATGCTTTCAAAACCGTACCGTAGGCGATGCGTGTTCATGTTCAGACCGAGTTTCGGGGCTCTTAACAAAACTCCCCCGTAAAGAAGACGCCTTCGTCCAAATGACTCTTCTGTGTGATGTAATGGAACTGAGAGTCATGATCAACGGCTATCTCAGGAGAAGCAAAGAGTTGGAATACAAACTAAATACACAGTGAGCTCCAAAAGTATTGGGATAGTGAAAAGTTTTGTTGTTTTGTCTCTGTACTCCAGCACTTTGGATTTGAAATGATACAACGTGCAGACTGTCAGCTTTAATTTGAAAGTATTTTCATCCATATCGGGTGAACTGTTTAGAAATTACATAACTTTTTGTACATAGTCCCACCATTTTAGGGGACCAAATTCATTTATGTCTATTAAAGTAGTCAAGTTTAGTATTTGGTCCCATATTCCTAGCACACAATGATTACATCAAGTTTGTGACTCTACAAACTTGTTTGGTGTATTTGCTGTTTGTTTTGGTTGTGTTTCAGATTATTTTGTGCCCAATAGAAATGACTGGTAAATAATGTCATTTTGGAGACACTTATTGTAAATAAGAATTGAATATGTTTCTAAATACTTCTACATTAATGTGGATTATGGATAGTCCTGATGAATTGTGAATAATGATGAGTGAGAACGTTACAGACGCACAAATATCTTACCCCCAAGACATGCTAACCTCTCACTATTACTATAACAGGGGAGGTTAGCATTTGTTTTGGGAGGGGTATGACATAAGGGCTATGTTGAGAGGTAGCTTGCAAGTAAGCATTTCATTGCACTGCTTACACCCCACTGTATCCTGTGTATATGACGAATACGATTTGATTACATTTTATTAGATTTTTGACAGTAAGAATGCTTGCCATTTCAGGAGACATACTTCTAAAAGAGAGTACACCAGGGCTATATCTCCGGATAAATTGAGCCAGGAGGAATGTACTGCTCCGAGGTGGCAACCCAGCAACAAGGCACACTTGTTGGGTCAACACGAGATGCAGTTCAGCCTTTACAGGAAGCAGACCTCCAAGTGGGTGGTTGAAAATGCTCTGTGGTATGCTGAGTATTTGGTGGCATTGATGAAGAGTGACGCAATCTGCCAATCAGATGACTCGAGGACTACATGGAGGTCCCATCCCACCATCCAGCCCACACCTCTACCCGCATCAGTCCTCTGCTCCTGTACGGGCTACTCCACCACCAGCTGGGCCTCTGTCCATGCCCTCGACACCTGTGCCCGGCTGGGCCTCTGTCCATGCTCTCGACACCTGTGCCCGGCTGGGCCTCTGTTCATGATCTCCACACCTGTGCCCGGCTGGGCCTCTGTCTTTGACCTCCACACCTATGCTCGGCTGTCCCTCAGTCAGCCCCGTGCTCTGCTCCTTACAGGCTGGGCATTCTGATGGAGCCAGCAATCAGTCGCTCTCCATTTTCAGTTAATTATATATCATTGTAATTATTTGTGTTCAATTGTTTGTCTCTCTGTGGGGTTTATTTAACTGTATATACAGCATCATTTTTAATTGATGTATTACTCAACAGTACTCTTCCCTTCCTCTTAATTCACACTGAGCACAAAAGCCCTCAGCAGAATTCTCTAATTACATTTTGAGCAATTAATGTCAGTCTTTGAATGCTCTATTGTATAAACTATTTAATTTTCCTGCTTCTGTGCTATGTGCACTGATTTGAAACAATTAGAGTACATTTGTCAATCTCACGTTTTCCTCCAATTCTATCTTCAATGACTTCCTTAATTTACAATCAAAACAATTTAGCTAACATTACGTTTTCGATTTGAACTTGATATTACATATATAGTTTAAGCCATTTCTCTTATTTGAGACAAACAAGAGTTAACTCCTGTGGTGTTTAGGCTTAACACATTTAGGCTACCCTTCTATAAATTAGAATCCTGAAGAGGGTGAGCAGTTTGACAAAAAGAGACGGGTTTTCATAATAAAAAGTTATGGATGATGATGACAGATTTACGGGGTAAGAGGAACGAGGATTCTCGGAAGAAGCCGGATGCTATTCTACTCTCAGATTTTCACACTAAAGGAAAATAAAGCATACAAAACAACAATTCAAGCCGTGTCGGGATTCGATACAGGTTCATTCTTGGTAGCAAATGCCCCCCAAATTCGCTACACTTGTTAATTCCTGGTGGCACAAACTCGACTAATGAGCGATCTCCAATTGATAACGCGTCTCAGTACTGATCAGAAGATTCTATGTTTGGCTCCTGGCTGGCTCGATTTTTTCCCCCATCTAGGTAAATTCTATTTAGATACAGACATTACTAAATTCCATTATACATTTACAACACGTATAAATGCATAGATATTTACAGTATATCCACGTTTATCTGGTTGAAACCTGGTTGACAATTCAATTGAGAAGTCCCTACGTAGCTACGTCGACTCTGCGTCACAGGTTTCCGCCCAGGCACGCAAGGACAGGGAAGATATTCGAGACTGCAGCTAGCACAGTTGTTGTGGTGATGTAATGTTACCCCTTTGGTGACTACTACGGATGGCTGTGTGTGCCAGGCTCTGCGGAGTGGGTCAGTCGCGGAGGTGCAGGCGGCGACAGCGGCATAATCAGCAGGACCAGGGAAGCGACTCCGACATGGACGAGGAGGAAGGGGTGCGGATTGTGGGCAAGACACAAGCCGTCACCCGCGGTGGTGGCCCCGAAAACCCCTCCGCAGCGGCAGGGCCGAGTGTGGCCCATGAAGCCACTGCTGAATGTGGTCGTGCAAATGTCAACAGACTTTCGAATGGGCACAGTGCAAGTACCGGACCACCGAACCCGCAGTCCCTTTTGGATCTGCCCCCAGAGCTTTTGGTGGAAATATTCTCCTCGCTGCTGGGCACAGAGCTTCCAAACCTGGCGCTCGTCTGCAAGACATTCAGGCAAATCCTCAACACGGAAACCATCTGGAGAAGGCGATGCACAGAGGGTAAATAATGCAGTGATCAATGATTCTTCTAAA